ATATATGGTATATATATATATATATATATATATATATATATATATATATATATATATATATATATATATATATATATATATATATAAAGAATTATAAATATATAATTCTTTATTACGTTCATCGAAAACTAAGTTTGATGGCCAATAAAGAATTTATAGTTTTTAAAAAAATATTATTATTGCTTGAAGTTTCGGCATCATTAAGCTAACCCTAAAATGAGATATTAAAATGAAACCTATGCAAGTCTTTTAGAGGTATAAAAATGAACGTATACGCAAAAGAATCACTACAAATAAATCTTTATCTGCTCACAGTATAAGACTTGTCCCTGTTCTTCATCCATACTACAGATTTCAAAGTTTCCATGATTGCAAATCTTTAACTTTGAAAACTTGATGACAGAAAGCTTTTCTTCTTTGGATCCTTTTATATAACAAAGAATTACATAGATAATCATCAGGAAATTTGGTCGATTTACATCTTATTCATCTACTGAAGCAACTGTAGCAGAAAACTAGAGTTTTAACAGTGTCGGTTTATATACAATTGTGCCGAAGAAACTTATCTTGACCGGCAATAGTTCAATGAAATCTCTCCGATACTATACATAAGGGAATTTGGAGTTCGACATGCACCCTTACCATCAAGTTGCTCTTCTGCAAGATTATTCTTGAAACTGCAAAATAGTAAGATAGATTAAAAGGCAAGACAGAAGCATCAAGGTTTTAATATGACGATCATGCTGGTTGTGGAAGTGCGATAAGGTTATTCTAGAGGATGATTGATGGAAACATTAATGTTTAATTTTAAGATTATTGATAATTATGTGCCACAAACATAGGCATATAACTTAATTGAGATGAAGGAAAAGAATATTTGATAGAATTGTGAAGGGAAACAACAACAAACTGTTAAAACGAGGATTAGGATCAAAGGGACTAGTCAATAATTCATAAGTGCACATTCTTGATCTTGCCATGACAAGGATTAAAATCTGTGTCCCATACTGACACCAGGTGGCCACTGAGATGGAATCAGATTACATAATTTTGTAGTTGTCAAACCCAAATCTCGATGCCTTCTTAATAAGATGCATGGAATCAGAAAGCGGTAAAGTTTACCTTTATGCTTCCCTTGGCTCTGGGAGTGTAATCAATCGTGAACGGGAGTCATACACCAATGTTGTGCCACAGCTGAAAAATATTTACGGTGAGCTATTCTTTGAATCAGGACAATGAGGAAACTGCCTAAATGTTAAAACTTACTTTGAGCATTTGACCGTGTTTGTAGAACCACCACTAGGCACCGACAATATAGTCCCAAAGAAAGAAACATTTTCGGTGCCACAATTTGGGCAAGGACCCTAAGTATTGGATGGAAAATATTGGTTTGATATTTCATGAAAGACATCATAATTATTCAAAATTCTTGATACCTAAGAGCATAGTGAAGTACCTTCAAGATGAGAAAATCTTTCAAGATGGCATTTGTGATTACTTGTGCTAACCAAAATATTAGTGGTAAAGCAGCAAACCATGTGAAGATGAAACTGAAGGGCTCTGGCAACTGCATCATGACGACATACAATAAGTCAACAAACTATTGACACTGTTACGACAATTTGTTTGTAGGCAGAATCTTTGAAGAATTTTGATTGGTGAATATGGTTGATTTTCAATCAGCTCTAGCAACCAAGGTAGGAAGAGCATCTTTATCCCCTTGATATGGTTTTAACTTCAAGATGTGGAACAAATAATGGACCTTTACATATAGTGGAAGTTCCAAGTTGCAGGTTGCCAACCTTATATGTCGAATTACATTAAAAGGGATCAGAAATCAAGAAGAAAATTAAATGGCTTGTAGGACACATAATATAATTTGTTGATTTTTATAGAGCTAAAGTAGCACCCAATCTCCTATGAAAAACTCCCTTTCTCTCTGTCGCTTCATATTTTGGGCAACACTAAGAAAAAGAGTAACCTAATAGATCTGCAAGGTGGTGTTACTTTGGTAGGGTCTGGTGAGTGTCAATGTACAGATCTGTAAGTAAAGAAGTTGTTTCCATCACCTAAATCTTTGTTGCTTAGGTTACAAAGGAGCAAATTACCATTATGCCAAGGCTCATCCTTTACGGAGAGATGCTTCTTCAAATTCTTGTTGCTTCCTTTCTTTTAGTTCAGTATCAAATGCATCAACTTAAGTGGTATTTGGCATGTGTGTTAGGATTCAAGAGGATAATCTTTCATACAAGGAGGCTTCACAAAAAGCCATGTTGACTAGAATGCACTAAGAAGTGTTTGTGGGCCATTTTGCTCACAGCAAGAAATTTATCCATAATTTCAGTTGCTCTCCTGTATCTATAAGAGTCTGTAATCCCTCATCGAGCATTTTGGAACGGTCATTATGTGGACCAATATGCACATTTGATAAGTGAACCAGTCACTATAACTGTAACTATTCTCCAAGTGCTTGCAATTCTTGCATGATGTTTGTTGCCATATTTTCCAAACTCTTTTTAGAGCAGGTAAGCCCTGAAATAGTCATGATGATCTAGATGCCTTGTACTTAACCATTTGGTTCATGTGTCACCCACCATAGGAGACACAATGGCAGATATCTTTCCACATGCTAAGACCAATAAAAGCTTGAACTTCCCTTTTTGAAATCGTTCATGTTCCCTCCATGTCCCATAACAGGAGAATTAAAGAATTGAACTAGAGTCTGCTCCTTCAATTTACAGTTGTTTCCAAGCCCTATGGGAACCTTCCTGCAGATGAGCAGAGGCTGAATCTCATCGTACACAGTGAGGCTGGAGTAGTTTCTACAGGAATGGAAATATGGATGATGAAAATCTTTGTAACTCACTTTCCTTGGACATGCTAGAAAGAGCATCCACCCTCTGATTCATTTGACCTCTCTTATATTTGTCAAAGTCGAAAAACTTAAATATCATATACTGTATACTGAGCGAAAGTCGCTATCCTATGCTCCAACAAGTTCTTTAAAGGATGGTGATTCGTCTTGATGATGAATATTCTGCACAAAATGTAGGTTCACCAAGTTTGATATCACCATTGCGAGTAATTCTCTACAAAAGGACTGATAGGGTTCGAGTTGTCCCTTGTAAAGCTTGGTTAATATATTCTTTGAGATGTTCTTTTTGTAGTAGCATTGCTCCAATAGTTAAATTATGTCCAGAGTGTCATTTTGCAGCATGGACACCCATTGGGAACTAGGTAGCGAGCAAGGAGGGGAACCAAGGTTACAAGCATTGATGGTGACCAGAAGGTGGGGGAGGAAGGTGGCAGTGCACACCAGTCTGGGGTGGAGAAAAAATGAAGAAGATAAGGGCAACCAAGGAAGAGAGGAAAAGTTTAGGATGGGTATGGATACCAGGTGGTAGGCTTACCACTCAATAGAACTTGGTAAAGGTAAGTTCACTGGGCATACCACCTGTTATGGTAAGTGTATTGCATGGTTAACCTGGTACCGAACTAGATTTGATGAAATTGCCTAATCTGTACATCGGCTGACCCTCGAACCTGTAAAAACTAATCCATTCCGGTATGGTCAAAATTCAAATCCTTTGTTACACTACTAGCACAAGTACCATCACACTTGAACACTAAGTCCTCCCACATTGACGAAAGCCTCAAACATTGGCTGTCTTTTCTTTTTAGATGTTTATTCCCCGATACGATGTTGACATTTTAGCAGTGAGACTCCGATCTAACCACTTTTATATTGTTGACCATAGTGATTGGAGGCTTTTGAATCCATGCAAAGTTGTAATCTTTTTCAGACTTGACCTTGGACAGTTGGCACACAGCAACTAATGTATGCTGAGAATTTTAAAAATAAGATTGTACATCCATGGATAGGGCGTGCATGTCACAACCCGATAGGCTAACTGGCCTATCAACTTCGTTTGACCCAAACCATTGACCAAAATGTTTAAACTGAAGTTGATAATGGTATTCTCAGATACTAGGTTGACTCTAATACCAAATGTCACGTCTCAAGTCTAATGGGCTGACTAGCCTATCAAATTTGTTTGGCCCAAGCGATTGACCAAAATACTTAAGTTGAAATTGATAATAATACACTCATCATACCCTTATAAGTCAATCTTAGTCTTGCCCACTTTCGATGTAGGACTAATTGAGAGCGTTACAGCGCATATATGACACATTATCAAATCATGCTAGCAAAAATTCAGCACATTATTGTGTTGCTCTCCTCTAAGCTTGCTTCCAAGTAACCTTCAATGAAGGGGAAAAGATAAAGGCATGGAAGAGCTACTCACCTCCAAAAGATAAGTGATCTCAAAGCCAGTCAAATCATCTAGAAAGAAGAACCTGTTAAAACAAAGTAGATGAACTTAGAAGTATTAAGTAGAGATATCATGACTGAGCTCTAAAAACAAGTTAATGATTATTGAAATTTATTTTAGGTTCAAGCTCCAAAACAAGGTAATGCAACATCAGTTAGTAAATATTAAACTCACATGAAGAAGTGATATATACAGAGGTCAATCACAAATGCACACATATGTTGAAATTTAGTATTTTCAACATGTATAGCTTACAAAAATGGATTCTAATATTAGAACCATGTAAACCAGAAAAAGTTCATGACGTTGATTCTAGACTATTTCAAGTTAAACAAGAACAGGAAACGAGCGTTGGTTCTTCATAGAGAAATGTATGCTAAATGAAAAACTGGATAGGCATTTGTCTGACTGACTTTGCAAAGATTATTTGCCTTTTTATTCTTCTTTCTACAAGCCTTTCATTCCTTTTTTCTCTTCGTTTCTTATTTGATACATATGCTAAGAATGCTATCTTATTCCTTCTCTTTTTCTCTTTTTAATTTTCTTGCCTTTGTTCATGTCACACTAATGTTAGTGGTCTCATTTGTTAGCATTGTATGTACCAGAGTATGGTGATCTAAGCCAAGGGAAAAATAGCATTAGCATCCAAAATTGAAATCTAGGAACCCCAATTAAACAAATATGAAATGTGCATATGACAAACTGAGAAAGCATGAATCTCTTTGGAGTGTGTCAGAATAAAAAAAAGCTCCATTCTAAAATTAGTTGCAATACATAAGTTTAATTAAGTTAAAACATTATATGTATGAAATAGAACATAATAGAAATACGAAAAAAAATTATAACAATCATATAAAACAATTCGACACTGGCAGGCTTAATTATCATAGAAATGGCATACACTATGTGGACAGACATCACTCACAGTGTAAGAGCAATGACAGCTGCAGGCACATTCAGCAGGAACATCTTGAAGTAGTCAACATTCAAGTCACTGTAAACCTGCACATATGACAACATAATTATCCTTCGTTAATATTATACACCTCTAGTGAACAATGAAGATTGTAACAAATCACTCAAAGTCTAGCTGGTCATAACATTTCTAAGCCCAACATTAAATGCTCTGGGTTGCCCAAGAAGTTGACCAATGCACATTCTACCAGTAATCTGGCATTAATGCTAAAGATTTTATTTGCGCTCTTCAGATCATCTTTTATTGGTTGTTCAATGGAGAAGACAACGAGCTGTCTTCCTCAACTATTTATTGGTCCTTAAAAGGCTAAAAAGAATCTATGCCAAGATCAACACTCCTAGGCAACTGTTTCTCTTTTACGCCATACAACGATACCAAGACAGCATAAATATAGTCCACAACTTACAAATGCAACTGTCTATGGTCATTAACATGTGATGCATTTCAAGTCGCTAGCAGCCATTATCATCTAAAGATCCTCTACTTAATTATAACTCATAACTCGAGAATCATAAAACATTAAATGTTTGCATTACATCGAGCCAATGATGAACAGGACAGAACCTGCAATAACCTAAGCATTCAAAACAAGAAACTAGTGGAACAAACTAAATAATATATTTACCCAAAAAGCCAACTGAAGATTTTACAGGATCCAGAAATTAACAGATCTATATTATCTAATTAAAGAATGATTAACTGAATATACCTTTCTACTACGAAGACTGCATCGTGGGCCTTCTTGTACAATACTGCTCCCTTCTTTCTAGAAGAAATGAGAAAAAAAATTAGGATCTACAATACAAGTGAACATGAAACAGAATTCTGAACAACAAAGAGAAATTTTCTTTCTTATAAAATCAGCAGAATGAATTCAGAAATAAAAATATGGTATGCAGAACTGAAAATCATTTTTCACTTTATAGAATGGGTTGCCCTTAGTTTTATTAAAATAACTGTGTTTATATTTGACTATATTGAGAAGTTCAATACTTCAATTCATGATCCCAAAACCATCACATACTGACCATACTGACTGCATCGTAGCAATATAATAGTTCATCACATATCAGTCTACCAAGTACCAACCATACCAATTGGTATTAACATGTTAAATATGTATTTAATATACTTTTATCTCAGTCTACTAACCATATCGATTGGTATCACCATGTTAAATATGTATTTAATATACTTTTATCGTTGTACCAAAGCGTTCCATATCATAAAGTACATATTGATCCATAGCATTCCAATTTCAGTAGCAGTACCAGACTCCAAACCTTAGCTTATTTTCTAAAGCTGAAATGCACTAAACATGAAAGAGAGCACACTTAGGCATAAAAATAAACAGGTTAAGAGGTAGTAATTTTTCCAACATGCAAGCAAAGGATTCAACAAAAAATTACATTGAACAATGTTGTGATATTATTTTATGCAATACAGCCTCTTATTGTTTGTAAAAGTAAGGCTGCTTCCATTGGTCTTCCCTAGACCCAACAACGGGAAAAGCCTCATGCACTGGGCCACCCTTCAATATCATGGTATTTTGATTTCCATTCACAAATTCTTGATTTATATTCATTAATTATCCTTTACCTAAAATGAACCAAAGAGAAGTTATGCAAGTGAACCTTCAATCGCAACTTCAACTCATCAAATTCAGCATCTGTCAGTATGGGATTTCCAGACACATAGGCCATTGAAGCTTCCAAGAACTTCTGTTCATCTGGACCTGTTTAGAGGTAATAGAGCAAAATCCAAGGCATTATTCAAGCTATCTTCATAAATGGAGTTAACAGTAATAAATCAGCAACCAAAATAGGGAGGAGGCTAGCGAAAAAAGATAGGTGACAAATGGCATACTTAGCATGACCACACTGCTTCCTTCCCACATTAATTCTTCCTTAAGATTATCAAATTCCTCATTTGACATAATTGCCTTCTTCTCATAATAGAATGCCTATGCCCAGAATAAAGAAAAAGCCATGATCAAATAAAGTTTACTCTAGGCACAATAATGGAAATTGTTCAATATTATAGTGAATTGTAAAATTCAGTAGCTAATACTTGTAAAGCTTGCAGAAATTCTTGCTCAAGCTCTCCTAATGTCTTCTTGTCTTTCTTGTCTATGCTGCAATATGGTAAGATTTTGCTATCGATGACCTCGTCACTCGGAGCCTCACCTGCAACCCAATCTCGGTGTGAGAAGTGATAAAATTGGATTTAGGTTATGAACATGGACAATTGACTCCACACAAGATGTAAACGAAAATAAGTAAACATAAATTACAAGGACAGAACACATTAATAAACAGTTTCAATAATAACTCAAGCAGCATCAAGACAAAAGTTCAAGTTGCAATTGGCAGCCATTCAGCAAACTTATTAACTCATGTTAGATTGAAGCTTTTCTTATTAATTTTTTTTCTAATTTTGGAAGGTGATGATTGCCTTGCTTCATTCAACGCATAACACCTTTGACAACACTGGTCTCTAGATTAGCATTTAAAACTTAATTATGTCCAAAAATCCTAATATGGGGACAATATAGGTTTGCTTAGTTACTTTTATATTCAAACTCAAATCTTGATAGTTCTAAGTTGTCATACGAGGTATTTTGCATAGTTATGAGATTAACTTTCTTTTCCTCAACTTATATTATTGTAAGCCCTCGTTCAGCCTCGTATTATTAAGAGCAAAGAGGGTATAAGGGTGTGAGGCTATACATATCAACTATTGTATGCCTATGAGACATCATAGACAAATCACGATTTTCATTATCAATACTGCTCTCTTTCTGTAGTTTCTTTCTATCCCATCTCTCCTATATCTCTCTTCTTTTCTCCGATATCCCCTTCATACCTCTTTCTCTCTGATCTCTTCTCTTTTCCTTCAATACCATACAACGATTTTAGAAGGAACGGATATAATGAAATTCTTGATTGGATCTTTTTATGAGAATATGATTGAAATTTTTGCATCTTTCTGAGTGACTTAGTCATTCGAGAGAAGAAGTTAATGTTTCTAACTTACAGGACATATGAAACTGAAATATTAAAAGGCAAAGATGTATACAGAAGATTACAATGAGAGTGTCATGCGCAGACTACTCCAGAACCGTTTAGTTCTGTTCCGTGTTGTAGGTTCGTTGGCTTCTTGTTCCCAAGTGTCTTCTTCATCTACTAAGGGGGTGAGACAAATATCACAGCGCAATAGAATTGAATTTATAATCACACAGTTTTAGAGGGTTTGCGATTCATTATCTTTAAGTCCTCTACTTATCAACGCAAAAATGTTATCAAGCTCAAATGAAACATACCCCCAAAACGGCAATTCCAGGAAGCTATTTCCACTTATCTATCCACTTAAAATCCACGCGAAATCGCTGTTCCATGGCTCTTTAGGGGAAAAATAGAGAGGCTGTGGAGAAGTTCTAACCTTGCTGGTCGGAGGCAGCCCTGAAGGTCGGCGATAGCCCTTCGCGACCGTGATCGAAGCGGGACCGAAGTGAAGGCGCGAAAAGACGCAGGCCGCCGAAGGAGGAGAGACGAGAGGGTTGGCGACGAGCGGGAATAGGGAGGAGAGGGCGGTGAGGGGGGAGTGCGAGGCGAGGGGAGAGGAGCGACGCCAGGCAGGCCATCTCGGTCGCCGTCTCCGCTCAGATAATTGGGGTTCGCTCGCCGATCAGCGGGAGAGTGATGACTCGTTCGCGGGCAGAAACAACGTGTGGCCGACAAGAGACGCACCGCCGACAACATTTTGATCGCGAATCCGCACGCATTTTGGGAGCCACGTGTTCAGATGCGATACCTGAACGTCCCCGGTCCCACCCACAGATCTCCATATATTTTTTATTAATTAAAATATATCTAAATATACCTCCAGAGTGGTTATTTTATTTTTTTATGTGTTTAAACCTAAGATTAACACGTGTTTGACTGTTCTCCGGATATTTGAATTGATTTATGTAATATTGTATAATTCATAAATCATGCATTCATATAATAATATTATATGAGTGACAGGTTTCATATTTAAAAATACTCATGAATATTAATATAATATATTTATTTTTTATTTTTTTTAATATGTATTTAACTACCATTTTCGCATCCTACTTACGTGGCATTCAACGCAACGACTGCGAGGTTACTTGTCATCCAGGATTAACTAACATTTTCTACACGTCATTTCACCACACACGTCATTAAGCTAATCCACTTTCCCAACGTAGCGTGTCTCATCTGTCCCACCACGTTACGTGGGCCCAAATCATCCAAGGCTGACGCGGCGGCTTCATCTTTTTATCATGTGCGCACGTACCCAAACACGCCACGCAAAGAAACCTTGCAACGATTTCTTCTCAGCATTTGAAGGGCAAAACGTTTCGTTTGACTTCGTCAACCCATCCTCTTCTTCTCCATCGCTATATAAGCCATGGCTTATCCATAAAACTCCCATAGAGAGCTCCTAATACCGCGAACATGGAGAGGAGGAAAGGAGTGCAATTGCTGGTGCTCTTTCGGCTGCTCTCCTTGGCAGCCTGCCTTGATCGGAGCCACTTCCCTCCGTCGTTTCTCTTTGGCACTTCAACTTCTTCTTACCAGGTAAGGTCTTTCAACTCATTGCTACATATGTGAGGATTACACCACCACCTATAGTAGGAAGTATGTATGTATTGATGCACACGTAAAACTGTGTAGATTGAAGGTGCCTACTTGGAAGACAACAAAAGCTTGAGCAATTGGGACGTGTTCACGCATATACCAGGTAAATGATCTCCTTCTGCATGCATCAATGGAGGAAAAGAATTCATTCTTTTACTCTTTTCCTCACAGGACACATCAAGGACGGCAGCAATGGAGACATCGCGGATGATCATTATCACCGCTATATGGTGCCAATTTTGACTTGTTCTTAGTGCAGATTTGGTCATGTTTTTGCCATCGTTCCAAGAACATATATGTTTACGTCGAGATGTATTGACAGAAATCTCGTGTGCAGGAGGATATTGAATTGATGCACTCCCTCGGAGTCAACTCCTACAGGTTCTCCATATCATGGTCCAGAATTCTACCGAGTGAGTTTGGTAGAAGAACAAATGTTTTCTTATGGATGTAGTGAGTTCATCATTCTGAAGCGTATGTGCTTTGGACAGGAGGCAGATTCGGAGGGATTAATCCACAAGGGGTTGCGTTCTACAACAAACTCATCGATGCCTTATTGCTCAAAGGTACTGTCCCGAATGAGACCATCCTATCTTCTACTGCACTATTAATCTTCTTCTCTTCGAGCAGGCATACAACCATTTGTCACACTCAATCACTATGACATTCCACAAGAACTCGAAGACCGATACGGCGCATGGCTAAGTGCACAGATACAGTATGGTCTTCTCTTCTTCTCTCTTCAATGAATGACAAATAAGGAGTCTATATATACATACATGATGTGAACTTGTTTTCTCCAGGAAAGACTTTGGATACTTTGCAGAAGTATGTTTCGAGGAATTTGGCGACAGGGTTAAATACTGGACTACTTTTAATGAGCCAAATGTTATGGTGAAATTTGGATATGGGAATGGAAAGTACCCTCCCAACCATTGCTCACAGCCATTTGGTAACTGTTCTTCGGGTGACTCAAGCACAGAACCATATGTTGCTGCACACAACGTGATATTGTCCCATGCAACTGCTGTCGAAGTATACAAGACAAAGTATCAGGTAATTAATGAGGTAGTCTAATGGCTTCGACTAAACAACTGCAACTTGCTTGACATTGAATCCTCTTGTGCAAAGGCAAAACAAGGAGGCAGCATAGGAATTGTCATGGCCACCACCTGGTTCGAACCACTAAGGGATGTCCCAGCGGACCGAGCAGCAGCTCGACGAGCGCAGTCATTTTATGTTCCATGGTACTTGGTTTCGATGTTTACATATCAAGCAAGTTTCCAGGGAGACATCATCATCATCATCGATCTACTCGTACTGATCACAGGTTTCTTGACCCTATAATATATGGGGATTATCCTCCTGCGATGAGGCAAATTTTGGGCTCGAGGCTTCCGAGATTCTCAACCAGTGACAAGAAGAAGCTGCAGCACAAATCAGACTTCATCGGAGTAAACCATTACACGAGCTCATATGCAAAAGACTGCATGTTCTCCCCCTGCGAGGGAGGTGGCTCCGAAGGTGATGCATCAGTGCTCACTACCGGAGAGAGAAACGGATTGGCAATCGGGAAACCGGTGAGAGATAACTCATGCAATCAAAACATGAACTTACCTTCTCACTTTTATGATATCATTCACTATCATCAACCTTCTTTCTCGTAGACTGCAATGCCAAACTTCTACGTTGTTCCTCGTGGCATGGAGAAGATTGTCATGTACATCAAGAAAAGATACAAGAACATCCCTATGTTCATTACTGAAAACGGTGAGTTACACTAAATTGTTCGACGCAAACCACTCATGTCACGCATGTAGTAGTAGAATGAAAGCAAGCACGTTGATCTCATTTAGATCCATTGACATGCAACCTCCTATGTCTTCAGGTTATCCACAGGGAAGTGACCACAATACATCTGTGAAGGACCTGTTGAACGACAAGGATAGAGTGGAATACTTGCGAAGCTACCTCTCTTCTTTACACAAGGCAATGAGGTATAGCATCGATACTTTCACCTCTCTTCCAACTATATGTGCATGCTTTATTGAAATGATGAAGAAGATGATGATGGTGGTGTAGGCAAGGTGCTGATGTGAGGGGCTACTTTGTGTGGTCTCTCATAGACAACTTCGAGTGGTTATATGGATACACACTAAGATTTGGACTCTATCATGTCAACTATGAGACTCAAGAAAGGACTCCAAAGCTATCTGCAACTTGGTATCAAGAGTTCCTTGAAGACTCCCAAGTGCTGATTCAGAAGACATAGAATGAGATGAAAGTATATGTGGCATTGTTAATGCTAAGTTGGATGTAGATAATTATTATTATTATTATGTAACACATTTATTGTATCTAAGAAAATATCTGTTATATGGTACTGTAAACATTGTTCTATGATTAATGAGAGCAATTTTATTAAAATAAAATTCATCTAACTTAGTCGATAAAGATTTTTACGGTTTATATGATAATGATTGGTGACATTTTTACATTATTGATACAGTATTCACAGATGTATCAAAGAACTATAGTTTCACTCTAAGCTGAAAGATAAACAAAGACATAATTTCATGATAATGACTAAAGTCCATTGCAATTAGTAGATAAATTGTCCTTCCATATCATATGAAGCCTTAAAGAAATCATTTGTGACCATCAGAAGGAGTTGGTGATTGTACACTTTTCCAATAATGTAGATTCGACATGACCCATTAATCTGTCCTCCCTTCGACAGATACGGGTCAGATGTGGGTCTACGAAAACACCCATTTGAACAAATCATTAAATAGACTAAACCTTATGTGTTATAATTAATCATAACAAATTTTACCAATTGATTTTAGTAAAATATTACTACTACTCTGTAATATCACACAAAATAATGTGTTTCTAATAGGGTTTGTTATATAATTCTCACTGTAATTTAAGATGATGTTTTTTATTGTGCATTCCTAATCGTTTTACTAAATTTAGTTTCGTATGAAATTATTGAAAATTCAAATTAATATTATTTTATTTTATTTTTTATAATTACGGTTGAGGTTTTGTTCTTACGGGAAAAAAAATATTCTTAGTGTATAATTTACGCATCCCTATCGATTGACTCGAACATGATTTATTGATAGGGATATGCATATCACTATCATTTACATATTCTTTTTTAGAAAGAAAAATCTTAATTTATGATTTATACATCCCTATCGAGAGACCCTTTCTCTTCTCTTCGAACCTAAACCGAATTGATCAAAAATCATAATAGGGTTTGGTTCTAAATCAATCAAATAAATAAATAAATAATCGATCCCTTCTGATAGTTAATCGAAGGGGTATTTAAAAATAAAAATAGATGGGTTCGAAAAAAAAATTTAAATCGAACTCGAAACCCTAATTCGATTCCGATTTTAAATTCGATCAAATGGAACTCAAACCATGAATTATAGATTCACTATAATTTGGTGCTAAATTTTAGCACCAAATTAATCTGTGTTTAGGCTTAAATGCTACTGAGAGAGAGAAAGAATCAATAGGTGTGTGATTGCAACAATTTGGTGCTAAGCTGTAGCTAAAGCAACAACAACGTTGGACTCCGATGAAGGATGATGGAATGACTGCTACAATAAATGCATCGGAAGATCTAATCGTATGGAGAGAAGATATCATCCTGAAGAAAAGTGGCCACCAAATCACCCTCCATCTCATCCCAGCGATCCCATGCCTCCCCTTCGTCCCTCAGTCCGAGCTCCTTCTCCAAGTAATCCAACCACTCTTCCCTCTGCCCATCTCTTCTCGTGCCATCGGCTTCTTCGCATGCCTCCGGCTGCCTCACGTCAGGTATCGACGGACCGTCGGTGCCCACCGATGCCACCGAGCCGCGGGATTGCTTCTGCGGCGACGTCCAAAGGGAATCCTGTCGGACGCCCAACGTTTCCAGGAACACGCTGTCCTCCATCTCGTTGCTCTGCATCGACGTCGAAAGAGCATCGTCTAAGATGACGAACATGTCGACGGTCGGGTCGACGGGGATCTCGATCGCGCCGGCCATTCGATCGCCCGTCGACGTGGACGCGCCGTTCGTCACCGGCTGCTGCTCTCCCGACGCCGCACGCTTCTTCAGGTGCGTGTTCCACACGTTCTTGATCTCGTTGTCGGTCCGCCCGGGAAGGAAGGACGCGATCTTGGACCACCTGAGAGGAACACGAGAGATGAGAGGCTGCAACACGAAGCAATACTCCATGTCACGGATGGGAATGGGGGCGTCGTGTACTTGTTCCCTAGCAAAGCGTGCAGCTTGATGATGGTGTCCTCTTCGTCCTTGGTGAAGTTGCCTCGCTTGATGTCGGGGCGAAGGTAGTTAGTCCACCTCAAGCGGCAGCTCTTTCCGCATCGCAGCAGACCTTCGGGAGTCAGTGAAATGTTCATGTTAGCTACAGTCAAGAAAGGAAGCAATCTGATATAGCGGAGGCGAGAGAGACCAGCAAGCTTGGGGAGCGCACGCCAGTTCTGGTGCCCGTACTTGTGGATGTAAGCTATCAGCTTCATGTCCTCTTCTTCCGTCCATGTGCCTTTGTTCAGCCCAATCTTCTCACAGCATGGTGCGCGCCCTCGCCCCATCTCTCCTCTCTCTCTCTCTCTCTCTCTCTAGATTCCTTGTTACCTAGGGTTGCAAGGATCCAAGTATCTCTCTCTCTCTATATATACGCACAGGAAGAAGACGGGAAGACACACGGTAGCGGTGACAGGAGCAGATTCACCGAGCGTGGCCCAACGTTACAAGCTTACCAAACCATCAGAGGCAGAAACCGGAGACAAGATGTTACCTGGACTCGAGACATGCCGCGTTCGTCTGCCTTTCGAGCAGGAGGGGACTCACCTGAGGATTGGAGTGGAAGACACCCGAGGGAGTGACGGCGACTTGGCTCTCGGGATATCATGTCAGGCAGGATTGATGTGTTGCCATTACACACACGCCGACATCTTCTTAGGTTAAGGCTTTTGGCTCATAGAACCGATCCTAAGTTCCATTGTTCTCGGATGACAGACACATTACCTCATCACGCTCATAGAACCGTATCATTCGATCACCAACTCGTCATCAACCTCAAAGAAATCTCCGAATAATAGTTTTCTTGGTAATCTTTTGATCCCATAAAAATGGATTATAAGGATAAGGTCGAATATGATCTTTCTGAGACCCAAACAGAGACACTTATCTTGAACATAAAGGTACACGACATGTTATATCGGAAAAGGAGAGACAAACAAATGTTAGATATTGGTCTAAAGCTAAAAGGAAATGGCCGATTGATGGTGACCATTGTACTATGATCTCTCATGATTGAGTCTATGCTCATTCATTTGGTGCGTGCTTGTTGACATAAATCTCGATTTTGATGGAATAACGATTGCAAAATGGGGAGAGAGAATTGCAATTGCCATTTTCCTTTTTGATCGAAATTGCCTCACTGATTACTTTGATGGAAATGATTTTCTAATGATTTCTTTTTTATAGGATTTGGATTGATCATCAAAATTGATATTAATGTTCTCGAGCCGTCATATTATTAGCGATTTATTGGTTGTAATTTTAAAAAAATATTAGTAATTACTTGAAAAGTCTAATACAAATGATTCTAGAACTATGAGAGCTTAAAAGAGGCAAAACTTCATTTCACAACAAGGATTGGTCTTGTGGCAAAAATTGTCAGCCAATTCTAATCATATTTATTTCGCGATAGACATGTTTGATGATGTTCGTGATCGTGTTTAGATGCCAAAATAAACAATGCATCTTTGACGATAGGAGAAATATTTACTCTCGATCATGGCTCGTGGTAATCTAATCAGCATAAGAAGACTAGGCTCCGATCAACAACCAAGCCATCGATACATTAGCTAAATATGAAATATTTCAAAAATATTTTTTGTCGTTGATCAATTATAAAATAGTCACTAGACCTAATAAAATATTTACTCATTCTTTTTACTCGATTGCATTATCGTACAAGTTAGTATGATCTAAAGTCTAAGACCGCACGATCGCTCGAAAGTACATATGGGTCCGAACTAAGTCGACATTTCCTCTAATAAGTGGACTCGATCTTTATTATCATGAAAGCAAAGGCAATGATCAATGCAATCTTAGAACAACCACGACATGGATGTTGGCCTTCTACCAAATCAAGGAAAGAGAACCTACGAGGAAGGACCCTTTCTCGTCCTTGTCATTTGATTCATCTGCATCTGGTTCTTCGTCTCTGTGATTCCTGTTTTCCCACTTGTAAGATCGCTGCCGATGGCATCACGTCCCCACCCAACACAGCATCTCATTACCTGGGAGTCAAAGCTCGGAATTGGCTTTAGTTGGTGAAGGGAAGACGTCAAATCTTTGGAGGAAGAGTGACTTCTCATGAACAAAGCCAGACACAAGTCAAGCAGTACGAAACTGTGGCATTCATTCACCAGACACTACTCATCACCTTTTTGCATATGCCAGCACCTAAACTGGAACACAAACTAACTCAATCTCTGCCGGAAGAAGAAGAAGAAGAAGAAGGAGGAGGAGGAGGTACGGAAATCATGATTAAAGCGAAGTGAAAGCTTTCCCTTTGATGTGGCGATTACATTGGCCAACTAAAGCAGTCTGTCCTTCCTTCCTTGCTTTGCTTGCAGCAGTCACATACCCTGCTAGTTTTCTTTACTGTGTGTGTGACACAACAGTGGTGTAAGCACAGCGTAAGGCAGGCAAACAGCACGGAGAAGGAAGACTCGGAGACGTTTTGCTCGAATGAGTCTGCTAATGGAGATGCATAGTTTTAGACTGTGTTCGGATAATTCAGACTGAGACTTGGGGAATGCTCTGATGATGATGATTGCAACAACAAATACATCGATCAAATCGTATTATACATCAGCACTCAGTTTGGGATGCTTGAAATGGAATCAGCCTGTTCATGACAAGAACACAGGCAGCCCATCTTGGCAAAACACACTCCAGTCTTGCAGTGGTAGACTCGTTCTAAGGAGACAGTTCGCTAAATGGGCCCAAACATCAGCTATGGGAATTGTATGTCCACAAATTTGTACGAGTGATATAATTTTTTTTATTATAGATATGATTGGATTCTGATTCTGATTATAGTTAATAAAAAAATATAATTATAATAGAATTTCTTGGGATATGAACTTGATGAAATGAACTCTCCTAATTACTTATTTTATATCATTTGCTTTTGTCTATAAATAAACAAGATTAAACTAGTCAATAAAAAAATATAAATATTTTTTTATTTTTTTTGTATATAAATTCATCGATCGATGGGATATGAAGAGAGAAAAATGCAAGTCTAATTCCTTTTATAGATTAACATCTTTCAGATTCGATAATGATAGACACGTAGATCAGAATTTTTTTTTCTAAACAACATTAAAGGATACCCATCATAATATTTAGATATATTATTATTTGATTTCAGGTTTTTAACATTAATGTCTTTCGCTTAATAATAGTATATTATAGTTTTTATGCTTAGACTCTATTGAAATTATATCATTTAAAGGATTAACTCTATGTTTAATGTTTATGGATGATATTATAATTGTCATACATGATAATTATCATAAAAATATTCCTTTATTTCCAATGTGAAAGTCAAGTTTTAGATAAAGTTCAACATATATATCTGATCAGTTTTCTTATGAGCTCTATTTTAAGGGAATAAAGCTGAAGTCAAAGAGATATATGCGCACCAAAAAGAATCTTAGTTATCCTTATTAATGAGAACAGTGGTAAAGACAACCCCAGTGGCCAAGTTGCGATAACGGAGAAGGATTCAGCGACAAGCACTGGCACCTGACGGTGCCATAAAGCCACCATTGTACGGTCTCAGCAACCACAGAGAAGGCATTCATTAGGGTTCTCCGCGTTGACGCATCCATTTGATGAGGGTTGACTCCTCAAATCCTGCACACGCTCTTGGTGGTCAACTTGCTTCCTTGCGACAACTGCGAAGCGCTCCGCTCGGTCAACCGTCCGCAGGTGATACAGTAAAAGTCAATGTCTATTGGGACCATTGCTGGCCCAATTTAAAACTTCTTCTCATTCTAATTTACGATTATTTTATTATTCCAATAAATTATCTAATGTTTATGTGCCTTTTATATGAAGATTTTTTTATTTGAGAAATCAAGCCTAAATCAACATCAATTTACCATCATATCATGAGATCTATAAGTACATTTTGGTGAAAAATCAATTTATTTTTTCTTCTTCTCACAATACGAAGTAATCATAAATGTCTCATCCCAAGACAAAAGATTCTACGATAGATGCTTAAGTTCGATGCATCTTAGTATCTTATCTTTTCTTAAGCTGAAGATTCAAGATGATACCCGATAAAATTTTTTTGATACTTAAGTTACGTTTAGATACATTGAAAGATTATTTTTCTATAAAAATATATATTTTTTGGTTTTGGGGGGAGGGGGGATGTTATGTTGACTACTCATACATTAATATCATATCATCACCTTATTATTTGTGCATACTTAGTTGATGTCACATCATCATGATTTCATTAACTTCGTTATAGTAACTAAACCAAGAACAAAAATCTCAGTGTTCCCCTCTCTTATTAGTAGTATCCATGAAAGAATCAAAGATAAAAGTAGCTCCAAGTGACTACATTCCAAAAATTTGGCCCACCGCATACTTCATGGGACACCATATTGGACTTCTTTATCATGCACCTAAGCTTGTCTCTCACTAAATCCCAAATACCTTAAGACATAAACGTATAATAAGCCTATTATATACTCTCCATGTCCTTAGATCACAAGCTAAACCTTAGTATACATCTCTAGCACTAGAAAATAGCATTACAATTAAAGAGAAGTCCTTCTCATCGTCCACATTGATGTCTCGGTGGCAACCAGGAAGAAGCCGGTGGCTCGAAGGACACCATGGCGCGCCGACCCCGCCATTAATGTTCTTAGCCTTAGCTTACCACACTGCTGTCAACTACTCCTCCCTCATCTTCTTCTTTTATATACCGAGGCCCCTTTCTAACCCTTCTCCATCTCCTCCTCTTGCTTGCACACCTCTCTCTCTCTCTCGCTCGCTCTTGTCTCTAAAGGTCTCGGTCATGGCGCCGGCTTTCGTTCACCGGGATAGGAATACCGTCTGTGTCATGGACGCGTCATGTCGGCTCGGCATTTCCCTCGTCAGGAGGCTTTTGCAGAGAGGATGCACTGTTCATGCCGCCTCTTATCACCACGGTTCGCAGTTCGCCCTCGGGTTCTTTCTCCTCGTTGTCGTTGGGTGCTTTTGTGTATGCTGGATTCCGACGATTGCTGCTTCAGGTGAATCGAGCGGCGTTCTGAAGAGGATGTGCAGCGAGAACAGGCGGCTCAAGCTGTTTCAAGCGGACCCCTTCGACTACCAAACCATCGTCGACGCCGTGAAGGGCTGCTCCGGCCTCTTCTACACGTTCGAGCCTCCCCAGGATGAGTCCTATGACGTAAGTGCTTACTTCATCGACTTGTATCCATTGAACCGAGAAGCCATAGGCTTTCCGAAACATTTCGTCGAACAGTGTACGTGCTTGTTGTCATGAGTTGGCCGTATTGATTGCACCAACTGTTTGATCATGACGGCCACAGAGTCTGAGGTAACCCAGCGTGCCCTTTGACTTCTTTAAAGAATCGACAGCGCGCATGGATACGCCTGGTCCACTGTGCACATGGAACAGTTGGAAGCAGACAAGCCTGTCATCAATCCTGCTGCTTCTTCGCCTAGCTTCGAGTGAAAACGCGGGTTCTGACCATCTGCTTCCACCAAGTTGGCAGACTGTCACTTGTGAACAGTGCAATAACTCTTGTGTCGATCTGGTCAAGCAAAAACCCAGTATGATACCAAGAGAGTTATTACGTCAGTAATAGCTGGTCCAAATATGCATCTTCTCCGCTACTGTAATTACAGCAAACACCTTCAGCGCACCTTTCCGTGGTGTATGATGCAGGAGCTGATGGTCGAAGTCGAGGTGAGAGCCGCACACAACGTGGTGGAAGCATGTGCCCAGGTGGACACCATCGAGAGGGTGGTGTTCACGTCGTCGGTGACCGCGGTCGTTTGGAAAGAAAACCGCAAGCTAGCGGCGGACGTCGACGAGAGGGAATGGAGCGAGCCCAACTTCTGCAGAAAGTTCAAGGTAACCTTCTTCTTCCTCCTCCATAAGACCTCAGCACCATATTCTATGTAAGGCAATGCCCTCGTGGTTGACGGCAGCTTTGGCACGCGTTGGCAAAGACGTTAGCGGAGAAGACGGCGTGGGCGCTGGCAATGGACAGGGGCGTCGACATGGTCTCCGTTAACGCCGGGCTCCTAACGGGGCCGGAGATCTCCGTCAGCAACCCCTACTTGAAGGGGGCTCCGCAGATGTACGAAGACGGCGTCTTGGTGACGGTGGACATCGACTTCCTCGTCGACGCCCACATCGCCGTCTACGAGGGCCCCTCCGCTTACGGACGTTACCTCTGCTTCAGCAACGTCGTCTGCCGCCCCCCTGACGCCGTTAAGCTCGCCCAGCTGGTCTCCCCCGATGCCCCTTCGTCTCCCCAAAGGTCTGCCTTCTATAGTCGACATTATTCTATCAGACCTCCGACGTTGCCTAATGCTGTGCGTTGAATGGCTTACAGTAATGAGTTGAAGGTGATAGCGCAGCGGATTCAGAACAAGAAGCTGAGCAAGCTGATGGTGGATTTCGACGTGCGGATACAGGTGGAGTAGTAGACAGCCGTCCGTTTTGCTTCTGATGGTTGGAGATGTGGAAATGCTGTGTGGAGTCTTTTAAGTCATCATCAACTGTGTATATGTAGAGTGCTCCCTGGTTTCAAATATCCAAAAGAAAGAGTATATGTTGATTGGATTTGCATAAAATTGGCAGATGATTGAATTGTTTTACCATTGAAAATTGTTAGTAATTTCTTGGCTAAATCGAGCTGTGGATGTTTCTATTTTTTAATCAATTAATTGTTAATCCTAATTGATTTCAATCAATAAGATAGTGAGTTTCATAGACTCACTCCTAATTGATTTTAATGAATAATAACTATTTTTATTTACCATATATAAGATAGCTTTATAGTAAGTTAATAAAGGAAAATATTAGAATATTTAAAATATTTTTCAAACTGTTAATTTGAATTAATACCCATAGGAGCTAATGCTCTTAGATAATGTTGGCTTAAACAACTTTAAGCTGTGGTCTTGGGGCCGACGCGGTTTGGTTCGGGTCCGGACGATGGGGGATCTTCTCGGGACGACCCTCGAGACTACTGAGGTGGCCGGCTGCAGTGGTCCGATCGGGACAGGGTCATCGTTTCCTCCGATAGGGGGCTCCTCGCTTGGGCGTCTAGCGGGAGTCCTCCGTCTTCGCACCTGCACAAAGGTCGGGTCGGGGTGCTCGGCCTGACCCCTCCGACGATCAAGTAAGTGGATGGTAACGGGGGTTTGTCTGGCTCCGTTCCTCCTCAGCCAAGTTCCTCCCCTTGGCGTTTAGAATGCGAGGTTATTTATAGGGAAGCTTATTGTTTCCTGATGTGCCCGCTTGCAGGGGGCAGGCTCGTATTCCTAGTAGCGTCCGACATTGGTGTTGGCGTGACGTGAAGGACTGAGCCTGAGCAGGACGTTAATGTGCCTCGGCCGGCGTTCTGGTCCGTTTGACCAGGTGTTGTCGGGTCGATCGAGGCGTGAGGCGTCATCTGGGGCAGCTGACGTCAGCCCGAGTCTTGTCGCCATTATTATCCTCATCATATTCCCCCCCGGAAAGAAGTTATGCGTCGGTCGTTGTAACGGGAGTCTGAGGCATGGCTTCAGCTTTGAGAAACTATCCCAACTGGGCGTTTTACCGGTCCGTTGTCATGGGAGTGGGAATCGTGGAGTTTAGCAACTAAGAAGGGTTGGATGTGCAGCGGTGACCCCGGGTAGTGTGCGGCCGAGGAGCATACTCAATAGAGCAAGCCGAGCAGAGGCTGTGGTCTCGGGGAGCATGGAGCCGAGGAGCACGATGCAGGCGGTGGCCGCGC